AAAAAAAATCACATCATGAAAGGACAATTTGTTCTTCTTAAATCCTTCCCCTTGGCTCTAAGTAAGAGGAAAAAGGGAAGGGATATTTAAAAAATTATGGACTCTACTACATTTATTTCCAGATGTGTCAGAGTAACAACTGAACTTATATGCCCACACATAAAAGAAGCAAAAGGCATCTCATAAAACACTGTCCATCCAATTTAACAACTGGAGATTAATATTGTGAGATTACAACCATGATGACTAGCCAATCATTCCAGCCCACTGCAAGTTTTAATGTAGTCAAAACTTAGAATTAGCACCTTTATATGAAGAGATGAAAAGGAGAAAATTGTGAAGATGAATTCTGACCTTCAATACTAAACATTCATTCATTATTCACCAAATAATTTGGGAGTTTCTAAGTATGCCAGATATTGTACCAGGGGCTAGGACTACAAATACTTTAAAGCTGCTTTCAAGCTGAATAGAACACATGAGATGTGGATGTTATCAGATAAGGCAAACTAAATGCTTTATAAAGAAAAGATAAATCAGAATAATTTTGCCAGTGTCCTAACTCTGCGAACTGCAATTCTTAGCAATTCGATGTAACTGAAGGTTTACCAGTTACAGAAGCAATGAAAATAATGCTTCTACAAATGGAGTGACTAGGTTGCCCAAGGACTGAAAACTGGGCACTAGCCTCTCCAAAAAAGATGTATTCCCTTTTCTCTGCCAAGAGGAAAAGAGGAGAAAAAAGGCAAGAAGAATAAATCATACATCTTCCTCACATTCTCCAAAAGAAAACTATCTTCATAAAGGTCTAGGGTCTCCCAAATGTATGTCTGCAACTAGCCAAGCTGCCTCATGTAAGGACAGCACCAAATTAGAAGGCAGCATTTGAAAGTTAGTGCCCAAAGACAGCAAACAGGAAAGCAAAAATTGCAGACCAAAAATGTATTTAACAACAAAAATGAAAAAGTTTAGAGTTTATATCCCAGACTTATTCCCTAAATATATAGGAGACATAGAGATACATATTTATTTGGTTTTATAAAAATGAGATGGTGCTATACATGAATCTATGTACCTTGCTTGAATCATATAAATCTATCTGCATCAGTACAAACACATCATCCATTTGTGTCCTATCATTCATTAAAAAAAAAAAAGATAAAGTGCATGACTTGAGTGAAAATAATCTGTTTGCATGTTTTTTAATATATATTTTAAAAGTAAAAGTTTTTTAAATTACCTATGACAAATATTAAAATTAGCTTGTATTAAACCGAGACTACCTGTAAACAGCAATATCAAAAAAGCATGTGCTACTGGGTGCAGTGGTGCACACCTGTAATCTCAGCAACTCAGGAGGCTGAGGCAGGAGGATTCCAAGTTCAAGACCAGCCTCAGCAACTTAGTGAGACCCTTAGAAACCTAGTGATATCCTGTTTTGAAACAAAAAAAATGGGCTGGAGATGTGGCTCAGGGGTTGAGTGCCCCTGGGTTAAATCCCCAGCATCACCCCCACTCTGCAAAAAAGAAGCATATGCAAATCTGTCATCTTCAGTAAAATAGTTACCAAAGGCCATGGAGATAAGTAGTATGGTACTGAATTAAAATTTCAACAGATGTGCTGGACAGTTACTGACCAACTGTTAGATGTAGATTATGAAGAGAAAGACTACCTGGATAATTGAGTCAGTAACAAAACAAATAGATCAATTATTTCCATATCAGCATAATTATAAACCAACAAAGCATAAAAATTTGAAAAGCAAAATCATGGATGAAGGAAAAAATTGTTATTCCACAATCCTTAGGGCACTCACTGAATAGCTGTGAAAGCAAAAACTAACCAATAAAAGAAAGGATGCCATTAACACTCAAGTACTGCATGTACTTGCAAAAACTAATTTATCAGAACCTTAATTTTACAGAGAGATGGAAAGAAAAGCCATGGTCTCAGGGCCATGGACAATGGAGGTTCAATTTATAGGCAAATCAGGTTTCCTAAGTCCAATATGAAGAATCAGAAAAATGTAATAACCTTTACATTCTTTTATCTGACAGTGAGTACACACTCTTCAACCTAGAACTCCACAATCTGCTAGTCTTCTATCCATCCTACCACCTCAAAGCAATCTACATTTGTCATTTTACACAAATTTCCAATGATTCACTATTTCCTATAAATATACATACACAACTAGTCCCTCTAGTCCACTGGCACATTACTGGAGCTGTGTGTTGCAGGAATTTTCGGAAAGGAATGAATTTGATTCCAACTGCTTTCCAAATCTTGCTGGGTTTCCTGGAACCCACCTCTGGGCCTTTATACATGCAGCCTGTAGAGTATATTACAGTTTCCTTACTGTGACTTAATTATTTGTACAATCCCATTTTTCTACTCTTCCCCCTCACTCATGCCAGTCCATCTTCAGAAACCTCTTCATTTTTCCTTATACATGCCTTGAATCTCCAGAGCCTTCACACTTACAATTCCTTGTGTCAAAAATATTCCTTTTCCCAGATGGACAAGCATCTAACCCCCCCTTAATTCTCTTGGGTCTTTACTCAAAAGCCAGTCACTCAGGCCTTCACTGGCCATAGTATCTAAAGTTTCAAATCCATTCCTCAATCCTCCCATCCCTTCCTTTTCTCCTTAGCAATTATTGTACTGTCCATTTTATTTTTAATGAAGACAGGGATTTGGGTTTGTTCACTGCTGCATCCCCATCTTCTGGAGCAGTATCTAGTAGGTACACAATAAGTGTAAGTCACAACTCTGAAATAGCTAGGAATTTTTAAATAGAGACAAAGAGACTTATCCATGTTACCTTATGCTTTTTCCTCCCCCAAATCTCCTCCTAAACCCTACAGAAGCTCAAATTCCTTGATGTTCCAATAATGCCCATAGTTGTTTTTATACATGACTCCAATTTTACTTTTCAAAGGAACAACTCTTCTTCTTGTTTCAGTGCTGCAGTTTCATAGCCCATAAAAAATTCTAACATTCCAGAGTTAATAATTGAGTCTCTTCACTGTGGTAAGTAAATAACAAAAAGGATCATGAGTGTTTGTGAAGATCATGAATACTGGTAGAAAGGAATTGCTAGATTTTCATTTATGCTTCCTCAGCCAGTATTTCTGACAAAACAGTGTAATTGGGGCAAGAGAATATTATTACCTGAATGAAAAAATTTTACTACCCTTTCTTCTAGAAACTAAAATAATCCCAGCAACTCAGACAGCTGACAGGAGGATCACAAGTTTGAGACCAGCCTCTGTAATTCAGCAAGGCTCTTGGTGTATCCCTACCCCCCCACCTCTCACCATATATATATTAGTATTAAAAGGGTGGGGACACTGTGGATGTAAATAAAGAGCCTCTGGGTTCAACCCCGAATACCAAAAAAATAATCAAGTGATATACGTGTACAAGGTAAAGCATACAGTCCTCAAATACATGCTAAATGTAAATAAAATTTTAAAGAGAATTCCTAAATTAGAAGCCAAATAAAAAATCTTTCAAACTTACATATAATTTAAGTTTAACACTATGGCATTCAAAAGAGGTCTTGGGGCTGGGATGTGGCTCAGTGGTAAAGTGGGTGCCTAGCATGTGAGAGGCCCTGGGTTGGATCCCCTGCTCAAAAAAAAAAAAAAAGGCAAAACAAAACATAACTCTGCCTTTTTGGCCTTCATGAATTTAATTTGTAAAGTCAATCTGCTATGCATTCTGACCTGCTGTTTGTCAGCAAGGCCCAGAAAAACTTTTAAAGCCAAGAGTACTGTTCACTGTCTTCACTGACATCCTGATCAGGCCCAAAAATACTATTCAATTTGATTAACATTAAAGATTTAAAACAAGACTAAATGATTTTAAAACACAGCCTGAAGCCAGGTGCAGTGCCTCAAGCCTAAGACCATCTTCAGCAACTTAATGAGACCTTGTTTCAAAAGAAAAAGAAAAAGGGCTTGGGATGTAGCTCAGTGGTAAAGCACACGTGGATTTAATCCCCAGTACCTAAATAAATAAACAAAGACACAGCCTGAAAAAAAAATCAAATAAAACATGGCCTAAGCCCATATCAAATATCCATCAGAGATTTATCAACAAACATACCTAAAGCATCCATTAAATAAAACTATCTAGTGTTTTGTAGACAATCATAAACATTAAAAAAAGACAGGCATATTACTGAGAAAATATGTTTATTCAAGCCACGTTGTCAACAACACTAAATACAAAAAAGTATTTCACACTCGTAGTTATGGTCCTCTTACAGATCCAATAACCCAAATAATAAAATCAGCCAACTTCCTTCAGAATTCCCTTTCACTTCTCATCTGACCACAAGTGCAAGGACTTTTTATCACTTACAATAAGTGATAACATTCTTGATTGAACACTCAAGCCTTTTTAAAAGTCTTTTTAAAACTGCTAACTTTCCAAGCCTTCACATAAATGACACAAACGCATCAATACAAAAACTTCTAAACTACACTTAAAAAAAAGGTTAGTAAAACGGGTGCTTTTTAATGTTCATAGCAGACGAGAACATTACCATGTCCCGTAGTGACTTTTTCAATGGTAAGCACATTAGTGTTCCTTGGCATCCAGGCCTACCTATACCACTTCATGATATGACCACACTTAGGAGTCACATCGGAGAAGCCTAGATTACGAAACCATAAACAGAAAACACAGCACATCCACGGGCCGGCGGAAGAAACTATTGCCACTCCACTCAGAAGCTGCCTCTTCTCTTGTTAGTAAATGTATTTTTGTTTCTACCAAAGTTGTGAAATCCGCACACACACCCCATCCCAAATCTATCAGTGAGGCGGGCGGAGGCTGAGTCATTCCTAGGAGTAACTTTACACCGATCCTCGCACTCCGGGGGGTCGGACAAAAACCTCATCTCTAGGTTCCTCCCATTTTGCGCCTCGACCCAATCCCACTCTCCCGTTTCTTTAGCCCAACACACCTCTAGAGCTGAGCACTGGCTATGGTGACCAGGGTGAGGCTGCATCCCCGTGGGTTCGGGCTTCTCTTGCCCTCGGCCACTCCCGTAATTTCACCAGGTGTTGAACAGCAGCGCTCTCAAGAAGTGGCCCTGGGGACCTTCGGTGAGGAAGCCACAGGCAGCCCCATACACCCCGCGGCCCCGTGGAGCATCGACTCGAACCGCTTTTGTCTCCGAGAGCTGACGCGGGGAAGGCGGCCTCTGTGCAACACCTGCGGGGGCCGGAATCCCGGCACCATGGCGAACACACCTGCGCGGCCGGGACCCAGCGCCCCCGACCCACACTGCCAAGGACCGCCGAGCGGCAGTGGTGTCCAGATGGGGGAAGGGGATGCGGGCGGCGGCGACACTTACCCGGCAGCGCCTTCTCCTCCGCCGGCGACAGCAGAGCCGGCGGCCCCCGGCACCATCTTCCGCCACCGCCTCGTCCTCAGCGGCGGCTACCAACCGCCCATTCGGCACTGCCAACCGACACAACCGCCGGTGTCCCGGGCGCCCGCCCTCCCGCCGCGGCCCCGAACTACTGGTAGAAGGGAGGGGTCAGGGCGTAAAAGGACGCAGTCAGGCCCCTCGGCTCTGGTTAGAGGACCGGGAATCAGCGGGACCGCGGCCAGTCAGAGCCGAGGGGCCCGGGCAACCCGAGGACCCCGAAACAGTGCCGAGGGCTTGGCAGGGCCGCCGACACGGCCGCGGCTGGGTTTGTTATTGTCGACTCCGACTCTTCCTCCGCGGAGCACGCCGGGAAACGGCCAGCTGCGGGGGAGGGGCGCACCGGGAGGCGTAGGTTATCGTTTGCGCAGGACCGGAAGTCCGTAGGCTGCCGGGAAAGGGGCGGCTCCGCCTCCGGTGGCGTTGGGCTTGCCTGGCAACTTAGCTGTCCTGCCCTGACCTGGGAAGATTTTGCTGGTGTGTGCTAGTCGCTGTCCTGGCGCGACTTCCCCAAGGTGAGTTTGACCTTCCTTTGGTACAGCGAGTAGGCCCGAGCTAGGGCAGACCCCCCCCGCTGAATTTTGGATCAGTCCCAGCTAAAAAAAGTTATTTCCCTCACCTATGGCGGGCGGGGAGCGAGACCACCCAGAGTTTGGGGGCCCCCATAGTCTTGTTTTCAGGATAGCCCTAGGGTGGGATAAAGGCGACAGCATGAGTTACCTGGAGGTCTGTGCCCTTGTGGAGTAATTCTGCCACCAGGGCCCCCAACCGCTGGAACTGTGCCTTAGTGTCTTCTCAAGGGTCCGGTGGCATCCTTTTGTTCAGACCTGATAAGGCAAAGAAAACATCCCAGAGGGAATTAACACTAGGTCGATTGGAATGGAATTGTAAGCGCTACCATTACCGGTTTTCAGCTTTGTAAGTACTGAGTACTTCAGTAGGTTAATGGTTAACGAGAACACTCAAGGACGGGAGAGAGTTTCAGGGGAATCCTGGCTCTGTGAACATAATCAGTCCCAAGCAGTGACTGGAAGCCACCCACAGAGCTCGCGTTTTAAAATCTGAAGAGTGAATGTTAAGCGTAGAATAATTATATAATACTTTTAAAATTCCTGTAATATCCAGGAATATCTGGTTAATGTAAAAAAGTTCAGAGGTCAGACCTTTATGTCACCAGAACTTAAGAGTTGTCTAGCAGTAAAAGGACACCAAATTAAGCAGGGATTGCTGTCTTTTACATTTATGGTGGATAGTGAGAACCACTGACTGGTAAGCATTAGTGATTCCCAGTTCCCACCACACTGACCAGGTGTCTGAAAGTTAATAAAGCTAGGCTGTGTTTACCACTGTGTTTTTAAATTTGCAGTACTACATATAAAATGTCTGCAGAGAAATCTCTATGATCTTTGGCGTGTCATGTTGCTTGTTCAGTTTTTTAAAGCTGGAATTGTATCTCACCACTCCAGCAAAATAGAGCAGCAGTGAAAATTAAGCATTAAATTGCTATTATTCCTTAGGGAAAGGTGTAAACTGGCAAGTCTGAAGAAATCAGTCACAGCATAGTAATTAGCACATAGAAAATACTTCATAAGGATGATTTGGGCCATATATCAACCATGGGAAACAACGATGTAAAACCTCTAAAGAACATATTGGTACTTGTTCTTCCTCTTAGTTTATCAGTGACATTCCTCATTACAAATACAATCCAACTTAAGATGTGAAAATTTTACTTACACCCATGACAATCTATTAAATAATAAAATGTTTACTTGGTCTGAGTTCTATGAAAAAAAGTTAATCTCAATTTTCTCTTAGTCATAGGATAGGCAAAAAAAAAAAAAAAAAATTACCAGAAATGACTGATTCACACCTTATTTTACACCTCCATTGTAAATGTTTAGGTTGTATATGTCGGAAATTCTTTCCTAGAGATAAGTTAAAATGTGTTAATATTGATTCTGTTATATAAGTGTAAATATCTTAAGGAAATGTTGTTTTATTTGTTTTGGTACTAGGGAGTGAATCCAGGGGCACTCAACCACTGAACCACATCCCAAGCCCTTTTTTGTATTTTATTTAGAGACAGGGTCTCGCTGAGTTACTTAGTACCTCATTAAGTTGCTGAGGCTGGCTTTGAACTCACAATCCTTCTGCCCCAGCCTCCCTAGCTGCTGGGATTACAGACGTGTGCCTCCACACCAGGCTAGAAATACGTTATTAATAGTGAGTACATGTGTCCATAGTATAAATCCATGTTTATTTTCCTTCATACCAAGCATGCTGAATGCCCTCTGTCCTCTCCCTTAATAAACAAGGAAGGGAGCATCACATAACTAAATGAAGAGTGCTAAAACTGTTTTGAATTTTCTAAGTCATTTGCCATTATATCAGTCTCATATCTCTCCCTTCCCTTCGAAGCTGTATCTCCTTTTGTTCTATATCCCTTTTGGGTGCTCCTATGTCCTTGTCCATTTATTTGGTTCTCTTCCAAGTTCTTAGGTAATTGTAACACACTGTGAATAATGCAAAGATAAGGTGCTGGGTGAGATGAGAAAAAAGACACTTGGCATCTTTGCATAAGTATTCTTCTAATTAGTCATTTTAGATATTTTGGTATAATTTTAGTAAGAGCAAAAGAAGAAATTTCTTTAAGAGGAATCTGGAGGGATTATATAGGGCCCACTGATAAATACCCAAAGTACTTCAAATCAATTCAAATCTTTAAAATCCTATTTTTTCTTCAGGCCTCAACTTCAGTGTTGAATTGTCTTTCCCTGACATGCCTGCAATCTCAAGAAACTCACATTTAATCTTTTGAGTGCCTGAACTGCTGACTATAAGCTATTTTTAAAAGATGAACTGTTTCTGCAATACCTGGTTCTACAGTGGTGTACATTCTATTAATAAGCATTTGTTGGCAGTGCCCCACGTCTTATTCAGGTCCTCAATTTGTACCTGTACTGACCCCCTGCTAGTCTCCATTATTTACTCCATCCAAGACTACTGTAACCCTGCCTCTTTCCTTCCTAACAGTCTTCACTTCCTTTTGGGTACTAGATACAATTTAAACCTCTTAGTGGCACAGAAAATGTCCATGATTAGGCCCTAGTCCATTTCTACAATTTTATCTCTTGGTATCTTTCTCCTTTATACATGCCTTATGTAAATTTGCCTGCCTGGAAATGTTCTTGCCCACTTACTTTCTAAGTCATCCTTTAAAACAGCTTGGGCATTGGCAGCTTCCAACTTCTAAACAGACTGGTAATCATTAATCCTACTGTTCCATATCACACAACTGTAAATTTTTTATCTCCCTTAAATTCATGAAAATTTAAGATTAGGAATTCCCCCACACCCAATATTGGTGCTAGAACTCAGGCCCTCACATGTGCCAGGTAAGCACAATACCACTGAACTACATCACCAGCCCTTTTTGTTTTGATTTTGAGACAAGGTAAGTTCTTGCTAACTTGCCTACGCAGCCATGAAGTTGTGGTACTCCTGCTTCAGCCTCCCCAGGTAACTAGGATTACAGGCATGTGCCACCACACTGATGAAATGATTCATTATTAACTTAAATTCCTAGAACATTTTGGGGAGCTTGCTACAGTTGACAGAAGTATTTGTTGAGCCCACTGTGATGCCACACGCTTATAATCCCAGTGGCTTGAGAGGCTGAGACAGGAGGATCACAGGTTCAAAGCCAGCTTCAGCAACATTGGGAGGCTCTAAACAACATGATGACACTCTTTCATAAAATAAAAAAAGAAAAAGGGCTGGGGATGTGTCAAGCACCCATGGCTTCAATCCCTGGTTACTGTCCCCCACAAAATTCTAGAATGTAATAAGTACTGCAAATATTTATATTGAAGGCCACTAAATAAGTTACTGTGGGAAATTCTTGCCTTCAAATACCATAAAGGCTAGTACAGGGACCATTCAACAAAATTTAGAGGCAAGTTTATGTGGCATTAATCCTTTACCAAAATACATTTAGGATATTAGGAAGATCGTAATACACCTCTTAAATTTTGCCAACTGTTCGATTTTTTTTTAATTTCATTTAGCATGTGCGTTAGATATTTCTCTAACAACTTGGTGTCATTACACTCATTTTCTTTCAGGTTATATTCAAAGCAGCAATCACAAGTCATGTAATTTTGCTTTATTCAAAGTATGAATCATAATTATTATGCATTTTTAAAGGATTAACAAGATGTACTGTTTCAGACTTTGTTTTTAAAATCAGAACTAATTTGGTGTACATGATCATGTGCTATTTAGAGGCTGTGAGCTCTATGATTATTAAGTTAATATTTACAGTACCTTAAAGCTGCCCTACGCAGTTGGTCTGTTGGTACTCACACATATTAAGGATAATGATGATAGTTAATTTATGCATGACTGTTTTAAAAGCTAGTGAGCATCACTGTTTCAAATGCTACAAGAAAACGTTTCAAAAAATTTAATGCAATAGGTTGAGACAAAACATTTACAAACATTTTACACGTTGAAAGAGATATCTCCTTAGCATCATTTTATTAGGTTCCTATTTTTCATTATTTAAGAGTTTAGCAAAGTGTCCCACAGTAAGCTGGACATGGTGTTGAAAACCTGTAATCCCAGCAACTCACTAGGCTGAGGCAGGAGAATGACAAGCTCCAAGGCCAGCCTGAGAATTATTAGTTGGCAAGACCCTCAGTAACTTAGTCACTGCACCACTGCACCCAGCTCTGACCTTAGTTCTTTATGACTTCTTTAAGGAAATACTTACTGATCATTCTTTGAATGTATTTTGCTTTTATTTTCCTTTTAACGTTTGTACAAGAGCAATATGATAAAAATGTATGAATGAGGGGCTGGAGTTGTGGCTCAGTGGTAGAGCACTTGCCCAGCATGTGTGAGGTCCTGGGTTTGATTCTCAGCACCCATATAAATAAATGAATAAAATAAAGATCCATCAACATCTAAAAAAATATTTTTAAAAAATGGATGAATGAAGCCTACCAATTTAGCAAGACCTCAGTTACAGCTTGTCTCAAAAGTAAAAAAGGATTGGAGAGATGTAGCTCAGTGGGAGAAAGTCCCTGGGTTCAATCCCCAGATCCATCCCCCAAAACAATTTTTTTTCCCAAAGTAGAGCTGACACTACTTTTGGAGTGTCTTAAGGAGAAATACAGATACAGATGTCGAACTGACATCCAGGTGCTTCCTGGACTACAAACTTCTTTGAAGTCTACATTACAAAATACTTTTAGTATTTAATCAAGTACACACAGACAGGCCTCTATAGTAATGAAACATTTCAGAAGAAAAATACTTGCTGCTTGCGGCTGATTTTTTTCCACTCTCCCCACCCCACCCCTGCCCCCTTACTAGTCTTGACCCACTGTTAATTTTACTGCCAACTAATAATTCAAAAGATATTTGATTTAACGACACAGGCCCCAGATCTTGAGATTCTTGGCTATTGTTTTTTCAAAATAATAACTTGTTATTTTGATTGCATCTC